GAACGTTGAGAGACGGGTCGGACCAAGGTGCAGCGTAAAAAGCGTACATGTTTATTAACTAAATAAACATTCAACAAAACAAGAAACAACGTAACGTGAAGTCCAACGGGCTATACACATACCAGCCTAACAGGAACAAGATCCCACAATACACAGTAGGCAATGGGCTACTTAAGTATGATCCCCAATCAGAGACAACGAGCGACAGCTGTCTCTGATTGGGAATCACACCCGGCCAAACATAGAAATACAATACCTAGAACATAAACATAGAATATATAACATAGACATTCACACCCTGACTCAACAAACAGGAGTTCCATACGTCAGGGCGTGACAGGATAAGACTGGTTTATATCCAAAGTTAAGGAGAGATTAGAATGTGTGACTCCCCTGTAGCCTGACCCTTCCTAGGCATATTCATCAATGACCCGCCGGACAAAGATTACCATTACATTAAACACACATCAAACAATATACATTAACAGGCTACAATGTTGCATTAAATGTGACCAGATTATGAATATTTAGCATATCTTTTCATTTTAAATGTCCTCAGTGATTTTCCATAACATAGCGGGGATGGATAATAGGGGGTATAATTTAGCATATGATTAACCTTGCTGGACCCATCCCGGTATGTGCCAAGACAGACAGATAGCCTCATCCTATTGGCTTCAACACGCTGCCTCTGTTTTGGCACAGTTTGACAGCAGATGGCATGAGGCGTGACATTATCAAATTAACATCAAATATCACCACAGCTACCAGTAAGGAATATCACATCTCATACGTTTCTTGTAGTAACTGAATAAAACAATAGTGGCTTGGGCCTTTCTCTAGGCCTACATAACTGTGCTAGTATTAATGCAGGTCACATTGATATTATTAAACCTCAAAGTAAATTAAGATTTATGTAAAGACAGGCTACAAGTTAACATAAGCAAATTTGATTTGATCATTAAGTGATCAATTATGATCCAATTATGTGATCTAATCAGGCAGATAGGCCTGAGATGAGATGCAGTGTTGACCCTGAGCAGTGGCGACCCGTCATTCAGGGCAGGTGGGGCAGAGCCTGTTTTGAGCCCCACATTTTTAGCAAAACAATTTTTATTTTGGGGGGGGGGGGTTGCCTGTTTTGCATGTTATTTTGGCATTAATACGTGTCACATATCAGTTTGCAAACAATGTAAAAAAAAATATATATATATATATAATTGAGTTAATAAAGCCGCATTCAAACATGGTCTCTTTTTTGTTTTCTTGAGTAAGGGAGCTCCAAAATGAGGTGTTTCAGCCTAGCTCAGAGCTTTCTGTGGTGGTGGGGCAAGCCAGCAGAAAATATGGAGCATTGCGCCGTGATTGGCTCAGTTTTCTGTCACTCATGTGGACACTACGTCACCGCCAAGTCTAACGGTGGACATAGAAAATTCTAGCCCCTTGGGTGCTGCCATAGAGTTACATTAGAAGTACCCATCCAAGAAGGCTCAAGGTCATTGGCCACAGATAAAATGATGTCAAATCACATTATATCTACAGTAGCTTTGATTGGACTGATCATGTCAACATCATACTTTCAAAATCATAGCTAGCAGTCATCATCATGAATCAAATCGACAATCTACTGGCAAATCCTTTTTAATCCTTGTCATATGAAGAGAAATAATGAAGAGAAATTATAGATAAAACGTATCGGTGCTCATAAACATTACACAACAAAAGTTGGAAATCGCAAATTCAACAATGAGTGGTGAGTCCTAAAATGTCTTGTATGCTGCAGCATAAATTATGTAATATGCCAGGGAGATATGTATACTGTAGCTAAGAAATTAATACTTAGTGTATGTTGTGTGGTAAGCTGTTAGTAGCCCATGTGCCTCACCCTAATAATTTGGTCTATTTTCACCTCTTAATTTCGCCTACTGTTCTGACTTGGTGATGCACATGTAGCCTATAACCTGTTTTTGAGAAATGTAATCATCGAATATTGTAAGAGCTTTCATTGTCTACTTATATGCCCCCTTTCTTTATCCTACGGTTCTGACTTGGTGTACAGGGAGAACGCTGTAAGAACGGCCCATGTTCTGAATTCTGTCGCTGTACATTTCAAAAGTGCTGAACAAATTGTTATATTGACTAATGAAACGTCCGTCCTAGCTTGCTCATTAATGTCTTAATCGAAATTACGGATTGCCTCTTATCTGCTTATTAGTAAATGAGGCTGAATCAACTGTTTCGCTGCCAGACAAGGCTCCGCTGATAGCCAGGTGTAGCAGTTGTAAGGTGTTGGGACTGCTGTTGGGACTCTGCTGTTGGGACAGCTTTATGTAGGCCCTAACAGTTGGTGGGCAATTCATGTATTGTTTAGTGTTGTGTAGTGCAGTGGCTTTGCTGGCATGCATCCCACATGTTTTTTTGTTGTTGCCCCACCAAGATTGACATGATAAAATCGCCACTAACCCTGAGGCTTACTTGTTGCAAACACATGTCCAGTGGCTTGCGAAAGTATTCACCCCCCTTGGCATTTTTCCTATTTTGTTGCCTTACAACCTGAAATTAAAATATATTTTTTGGGGGGGGGTTTGTATCATTTCATTTACACAACATGCCTACCACTTTGAAGATGCAAAATAATTTTTTGGGTGAAACAAACAAGAAATAAGACAAACAAACAAACAGTTTAACAGTCTTGCTTTCCGTCCCCTCTCGTTGTCCCAACCTGGGTTTGAACCAGGGACCCTCTGAACACATCAACAACTACCCCCCACAAAGCATTGTTACCTATCGCTCCATAAAAGCCGTGGTCCATGCAGAGCAAGGAAAACAACTTCTTCAAGGTCTCAGAGCGAGTGACATCACCGATTGAAACACTACTTGCGTGCACTGCTAACTAAATTAGGTTACACCAAAGATTATGGATATAATGACAAGATACTTGTCTCACCGCCCTAACAATGGGAGTCGTTGTCCACAAAGCGGCACGGCTAGTAGGCCTAGTTCCCACCAGGGTTCAAACCAAGTATGGGGGGAATTTATGAGCAGAATTATGAGCAGTTTGGAATTGATCCCATTTTACTGTTTAAGTAGCCTACTGCTGGGCCATAATAGAGCTCGCCAGCTTGTCGTCCTAAAATCCGAAATGAGAACCTCTGGTTCCTTGGCCATTTCTATGGGGGAAATTAATGGGGAAAGAATGGGGTTTTGGGATAAATGCTGAAAATAAGGTCTAAAGGTAAAGACGTGCTCTGGTCCTTTGGGCTGGATGTGTCGATGTGTAGTTCGTACATGCATAATCTATGAGCAGAATTACTGTTTTACCTCAATTAGCCACGAAATCCCTAGTTTGAAAGCGACTGTTTTCTGGAAGCTTTGCGGCACCATTTTTCCTAAATTTACCCCCACATGGGCCTGCCCCCTAGCAATTTGAGTTTGAGCCAATGAGCTTCAGCCCTTCGCCATTTGAGTGACATCTAGCAAGTGGCACACACTGTAGATCGAGAGAGAGAGCAATGACGTGGTGCACATATCTGCACATTTGTGACATAGTACACAATTTTCAGGGACTACTTTTGGCTCGTGGGCATTACTTTCAGAACTACTGGCTAAAAAGTATACAAAAGTACAGGAGAATATCTTTAACACCTGCTTAGGTGATTGTATAGGTTTTGTTTTATGAGATTATATCAGGCAATTAACATTAACTTTATGAATTATGAAGCCTTTATGTGCTTTATGTAGTTGCTTAGATTACATAAATGCTTCAAAATTCACAAAAGTTACGTTAGCTGATGAAGATTTCTCATAGAACAAAACGTATAAGATCTCCTAAATCTGTGTTTACCACAGATATACTTTTGCTAGTTAGAACAAGGAAACTTTTCCTACAACCAGTCAGCAAGTCGGAAATGTCAGAGTTTCCTAGTTCAGACTAGCACCTGAACGCGGCATATGGCCAACCTTGGACCCACAGACCAGTGATCATCACTGATGAATAAACTCATAGCTAGAAAGCTGTAATACATTCTTATATTATTCCCCTACACCAGGGGTTCCCAAACTTTTCCACACAGGGACTCTTTTCATTCCCCCCCAAAATTGTTAGTTATCAATATCTTTGATGATATTGTAGGCAAAGATCATTGTCATAAATACCTGTAGTTCACTGATTTCTCTCTCACAAATCGATTACTGCTGCTTTCTTGTATCGATTAATATGGATATTGTAGTCCTTTACATGTCTACAGGCCTACAAGTATCTATAAGTGTACTACAATACCCACTTCTCCATCTTGACATAAAATCTGACGTAAACGCTTCTGAAAGTGTAGAAACGTGAGTATAACATCCTTGCTGTCGTTACGAGTATATGTATAATTTATCCTTACGCCCTTTGTTCGTATTATTATGATGACATGTACCACGCTGTCCTGCATTTGTGGCAATTGTATCGGGAGACGTGGCATATTGAAGCAGTTAACGTTAGCTGCTAGCTAACGTAAATCTCTCTATTTGGTCTCCCTCCCACTGTGCTAAGCTAGCTAGTTAGCTCACCTTAACTATTCTATTCGTATCAACAAAATCACGTTGTTTACATTGAGATTACAGCATTTCTTTCAAACACTCGTTATGGCAAGAGGCTGTATTGTTAGCCACGACATGCATTGTCAGCTAACGTTAAGTTAGCTAACTAAGTGATGCTAGCCAGAATTAGCTAACGTTAGGTAACTGTCAGTGGAGTTGACAGGCTGACTGTCAGACCAAGCATTTAGCTACGTTACCTAAATTGGTTACCCAACACTTCAGTTGTGTGACAGCATCTATGTAACCTTATCTTCCAATTGAAAACAAATCAACTCTCTTTGTTGGTGGTGAGGGAAAATGTATTGTTTTGTTTACTCTGCCATTGATTTTATAGACTGTGAATATTTTGTACAACTTTCAGACCAGAAATAGACTGTGTGGTAGCATCTTATGGATCACAGAGTGGTGGGCAACCAATGTCTCCACCCCGGCTCACCGGCGCCCTGCGCTCCTTCTCTACTGTGAGCAAGCACGAAGACTTCACTGAAGAAGTCTATGATCTGAAGGTAAGGCAAACCCAAAGCAAGTTACATTATAGACCATATCTGACTAACCTTTGTGATGGGACACTATCTCGTTATCACAATATTATTTTAGCGCTAGTCGGCTGTACCACCACCAAAACGCCAGTATTTTTCCTTCAAAGCTGGTTTTCTGTCTTCTTTTTAAATAGGGAGTCAATTTGTTTTCATCACTTTTATGACCATGACTGATCAAAACTCGATTTCTCATTGCTCTCTCTTGAACCTCTGCAGAAGACATTTGGTGAGAAATATGTTTGGAACATCGAATCGCAATAAAATCACAGTATCGATTCACAATACATATCATATTGCACCTAAGTATCGTGATATCGCATCCTTGAGGTCCCTAGCAATTCACAGCCATGCTTTATTATAAGAGGGAGGTGGAGCTGATTACACATGTATGTGAATTAAGCTAATTGAGGAGGATGCTTTGGGCTGTTGTGAACACATAGGCTACTTGTAGTGCTTTTTCACTCAATTCCCTTCTTGATCTCTCTTTCTCCAGCTCTCTCCCGTTTACCATGATACCTCTCTTTTCCTGTTATCTTCTTTAATCCGCTCTCTACTCTCTCTCCCTTTTCAAAATATATTCTAATCTTTGCCTCTCCCTCTATTCCCCTAATTTCTCCTCTCATTCTGACTGGGGGCTTGTTAAGTTGTTGGTGTGTATTGCGATACTCTACTTAGGAGGAAATTGGGCCTGGTCCTCAGACCACCACCTCTGGCCCTGTTCTCCCAGAGCTAAATCCTCAACAGTGTGAAAACTGCTGCTTGAGGGACTAATGAGGGTCGCTGGGAGATTATCAGAGCTCCAGTAAAAATGCTTTAGTTTTAGAGGACACGGAAGTGCTGATTGTAATAAAGGCATGGTGTTAATACTGCTGCTGGCCCTCCTTGCACTGAACCCCCTGACCCGATGAGCACTAATACCCAATGCTAAAGTAAATTCTTATTTCAAAGTCGCTCGCTATGCAAGGAACTTAGCGATGTCTTTTAGTTATGAAAAGGGCTTAGAATTACCCTCTGCTGCATGTGATAGAGAGGGATATGGAGAGAGAGGTCACTGTGTGCATCCAATATCAGACTACATAGTTTCATGATAATTCTGTGTAACACTATGCCCTTGCTGTCTGTTTGTCTCATGTTAGACCAAGCGTCTAAAGAGGCAGGAGCTGTTCTCCAGAGAGGGCCTGACATGGCAGAAGATAGTCCAGTTCTTCACTCAGCATCTGGAGAAGGCAGAGCAGCAGGCTGCAGCACAGGAGCTGAAGAGCATCCTACAGGCTGCCAAACAGATAGGTAATCAACTCGCTGGCCTGGCTGGGATACACTTTCAGTCATACAGTACCATTCTAATGTTATGTTATCTGTGAGGGTGAATAGGCAGTGTTTTCCCTAGGACTTTTCCCAGCAGTGGTGGCAAAGACAGTTGTTGTTTTGTAGAATGACTGTGAGAAAGTCACTTCTGGTGACTTTTTAAAAGGACATTCTACTCCAAAATGATTAAATTATGTTGACACCATCTGAAATATAATTTTCCCTTTAAAAGCATTATAACCTTTAGACCAGCTTATGTAGCATGGCGGCTTTAAATAAACAGGCCGAAGCATGGGGTTGCCCATCCCATGGGGTGCTGCTGCTAAATTTATATAGGGGAAACACTGATAAGTGATAGGTAATCAACTCAATGGTCTGGCTAATATACATTCTAAACCAGGGGTGTCAAACTCATTTTGCCCCAGGGGCCGCATTTGGTCTTCACCAAGGTCCGGAGGGCCACACTTAAATGTATTATATTTCCTCACCGTCAAAATGTGCAATAGTCCTCTATAGTTTTTAGCCTCAAGACAAAGCACTGAGCCTCCCCTCCACTGTTGGGATTCAACCTCCTATGGAGAGCTTGCTCCACCAAAAGGAACCCCATACAAGGTGTCAGAGCTTCCGCCGTCACCGCGGCGACCGGATGTCCTGATGTGACTTATAATTAGATTAGATGCAAATCCCCCACAACTCCAGAAGTCGTACAGCGGTGCAACACAGGGCCCTCTCCTGCTGCTCTTATTACTATTCTGATCCTGCCTGTTGGGGGACGGGTGATCACACACACCCCTCCGTCCCCCTAATCCCACTGCATCCCTGATAGATACCACAGTGGCGTGCAGTGGAGAGTGGATGCCCTCCAGGCGGAGCGCCTCTGTAGTGTACAGGAGGAGACTGAGGCCCTGAAGGACACATGAGAAGGCATCTCTGAGGCTCTCTCAATGTCTTTCCTCGATTCCTCACGTCCCCTTTAATCACCTCCTCCTCCAAACGCATTAGAGGAAAAGATCCAAGGTTTCTCCCCTCTGACCTTCTCCTCCAACGTGTTTTGAGGAGGAGAGAGGACACAAGGAATCGAGGGAAGACAAATTGAGAACCAACCTGGGGTTCTAACAGCAGCTACATGTATGTGGAGGATCAAGAGCTCAGGACAGCTAGTGGAGGCTGGCTGCCTGGGGGTGTCTCTCTGTCTAAAGGCTCATGTGTTCCAGGCCAGGGTCAGTGTCTCTGAAAGATCAATTATATAGTGTAGAGCTTGATGCATGTTCCTTAGCTGAGGTGTTTTAGTAGAGAATGCCAGGATGTTGTCAGCAAATAAGAGTACATTCTAACAATAGACACACAGTAGGTCCCTGAAAACATGTTGTACAGTCAGGATTTCTACTTTGAAATGCTGTCTAAGAGCTCACCAAGAGAAGCATTTTGGCCTACCTACCTCCTTGAAACCCTGTGATAAAAGCTGATTTTTATGAAAAAGCCAATTTTGTTCCATTTATTTGCTTTCTGATCGCCACTACTCTTTTTTTTGTCCTCATCATTGAAAGGCCAGAGAGCCTTCAGTGATAATAAACACGTATTTGGGATATTTTCTAAATGTTCTTGACCATGTAATTTTGGTCCTTCTAATGTGCCCTTAGCCTGTCTGGCTAACTAGAGTGTAGAGAGTAAAGTAAAGCTCTAGAACACACTGAGAAGGAAGATGAAAAGCATCCATCGTGCCCTGACACACACAATGGAGAGTGAGATGCTTTTAGGCCATTTTAATTGGCTTAAATCCTTTTCATCCGTTTCCCTCTGCCTCTCTAAGTATCACCCTTTATCTGTCTCCCTCTCTTTTTCTCTCGCTCTCTTTTTCCCCTCTGTCTCCCTCTCTTCTCTTTTGGACAATTAGTCCTCATTCCCTTCATTAAACAGAGCTCTCACTGAGCTACGGAGGGAGGATACATGTCTTTTAGAAAGTGCTCTTATCCATCTTTCATTTCTCTGAGGAGCAGTGCTAGACAGTGCTATCCTTTTACTGCTTGGAACATACAGTTGAAACAGCAGTACAGCAAGAAATATCACATTGCTGTAGCCACTAGCCAGCTAGATATCACTAATGGTAATAGTAGTGGTTGTGGGTTTTCTGATAATCACAATGATCATCAGTGTCAGCATATGCCTCGGTTGAAGAGTGGGACTGGAGAAGCTGGGCTCATAATAAATGATGATGATGGTATTTAGCATCTAGCTAACTAATTATCTTGTTGTTTCTCCATGTCTCTGGCAGTGGGGACAGAGCATGGCCAGGACACCATTGAGAGTGCTGCTGTCTTCCTGTTTGAGACTTTCCACAACAAGGACCATGTGGGTCATGAGGAGACCAGGGCCATTAAGCAGATGTTCGGCCCATTCCCCTCCTCGGCAGCCGATGCCTCCTGTGCTGCTGTGTCCCGGGCCGTGGCCCCTCTGGGAGAGTCCCAGGTGGGGGGAGTCTAATTTTGTATTTGGGGACAACTGTAATACTATGACTATATATAGGCCTACTTAAAATAAAATATAAAAAAGTTACTTTTTGGTTTATACATTTTCTTCCTAGTATTTTATTATTCTACCATCCAATTTTTCTTAGAATACATTTATTATGCTGTACTATTTATTTATTATTTATTGATGTTTTACAGGTGGAGGAGTTTGTTCGTTCCCAGAGCGCCTGTCGCACCCCTCAGCGCGGCTCGGCCTTCGGACGCAATATCACCTTCTCCTATGACTGCTACGCCCTGGACCCCCAGGAGGCCCTGCCCTGGGCCGGGGGCCCTGAGGATGAGACCCCTGGTGGAGGCCTGGACTTCCACAGCTTCCTCAACAACCACCAAGGCCGCAGGGGTAATGGGGGAGAGGTGGATGGAGGCAGGCTAAGCCCGGGAGGGGCTCAGAGCTCTGGGGATGGGACCATCCTGAGGGGGGAGGTGGAGAAGTACATGAACGGAGGCAACATGATTTCCTCCAGCCCTGAGGAACTGTGCACCTCCCTGTTTGAGATGCTGGCTTCCACCAAGAGTGACGACGAGCTGCAGAACGAGGTGAGCAGCACCCTCTCACACCACCTTTACCCTTTTCACACTATTGTGCCGAGCCAAACCTCACTGTTATTCCTTGACCTTAGCCAGCTGGCCTCTGGGGTTTAAACGCCGGGTCAGACCACATCCACTTTGGACCCCGTCTCCACTGCAGGTCAACCTTGGCCTTTAGCTTAGGGTGTTGTCTCATGCTATAGATGAGCTTGGAGAGATCTGGAGAGCTGACCTTAACCTTATAGGAGAGGAGGAGGATCTTACTGCTTCTCCAGGGAGGTCCCATCCCATAGGAAAGCTGCAGTATGCCTGACATACACATCAGGATAAAGGCTGCAGTATTGTATGCCACACAGAAGGAAGAATAAGTGAAACAGTGTTCAGGTTCAATGTTTAAGGTCTGAGATTCTGTATGGTTTTTAGAGGGTGGAAAGACCTTGGGTTTACTGTATGTTGAAAGGATTTCCGCAGTTACCAATGAATCAAGACTAGCTAGAAGAACTGGGCTAGAATTACTGGGCAACAACAGGCAATTAAGGCAGCACTTAGTCTGTGCTGAGCCATGGTGTTATTGAGACATGTTGTTCACTTCTTCCACAAGACAAGAACACACTTACGAAGAGGGGGAGAGAGTGGGGGAGATGCCAGGTTGTGACGGAGGAGAGGAAGGAAAGATGGATTGATGAGGCTCTGGGTACTGCTCCCATCTCTCTTATACAGGTGCTTAATTTAGAGTTGTTCGCTCGCTCTCCCTCTCTCCCTTGCAGCCCACAAAAACACAAGGTCGCCACACACCTTAATTAATATAATTTATTAGTGGCTCTCTTCTGTTTGTTCTCCTCGACCCCCTCGGGTTAGAGTGCGCTCTGTAGGCCACATGCTCTGTAGGCCACATGCTCTGTAGGCCACATGCTCTGTAGGCCACATGCTCTGTAGGCCACATGCTCTGTAGGCCACATGCTCTGTAGGCCACATGCTCTGTAGGCCACATGCTCTGTAGGCCACATGCTCTGTAGGCCACATGCTCTGTAGGCCACATGCTGAAACCTCTGGCTTTCACTTATGAATTAGACAAACAGTGCCTCGTTCTGTCCTCTTGAGTGTCTCTCTCTCTCTCTCCTCTACCTTTACTTTTCTCCACAGCAGACAGTGTAGGTTTTTACTAATACCTGCTTCTACATTCTCTTCTGATGTTCTCCACGTAGTTGACATTTGGAAGCCAACTCTCCTACTGACATGTTTAGATGTGGAGTGCCCTTTGTGTGTGTGCACTCCACGCACCTCCCTGCGCGTGACTCTAAATTCAACAGCAAAGTTTAAAGGCTCTGTACTCTGTACCATTACATGTGACAGAGGAGAAACCCACCGCTTTTTATTACCTCTCATTTGTACCCCTGGAATGATGACATTTGCTGCAATAGCAGTGGCTTGAGAAAGAGAGGAGAAAGAAAGAATACAAAGTAATGTTTTTTCTAGCTTGATTTTAAAGGTATGTTTTTGGTGGTAGTGAAAAGAAGAGCTCTGCCTTCATTAAAGCACAGGGACATAGACTCTTGATGAGTTATATTCATTTTTTTGACTGCTGTAAGACATACTGTGTGCTGCTTATATGGCAGTCTCATTCAACATTTGTATTATAACCAGTGATCTATGTGGACACTGATAGTTTCCTGTCTTCCTGAAAGCTTGTTGTAGCCTATGCCATAGAGTTTTCTAGAACTCTCTATGGTTCACAGTCACAGTTCACCTAATGTCTCAGCCTCATCCAGGCTTAAAGGTAAAAAAAAGCCTTCAGGGTGGTTAGCTCTGTGAGCTCCTTCCTTCTGAGGGGAAGACTGTCTCTCACTCCCAGCGGACTCCTCTGTCCTACTCACCTTCCCTTCCAGGCTGAGAGGATCCAATGAACTTCAAGGACAGAATTCATGAGTGCCCATAAAAAAGATTCTCTCTGGGCAGCAGGTGAAAAACAGACCAACAATAACAACAAACAGTCCCAGGGTCATTCCACCTCAAAAAGCACAAGCACAAGGATTTCGACACCCACCATCTCAGATTGTTCTGAAATCGTTTCTGTGGGAAGAAACTGATAAGGTTAGCATTCCTGCAACATTATTTTGTTGAAATATAATTTGATCTTTGTGAAGATAAGCTAATTGATTGCACCCAAATTGGACCTTTGAAATGATAGGATTCATATAATATTCAGTAAATATAGTGCATAACATCTGATTTGGACCCCAACAAATTCTAACAATGAGTAAGACATGAGGATTCCAAAGAAATTGTAAAAAGCCACCCACAGACCCCACGCCAAACCCACCCTAACAATGAATATATAGTATCAGTTCTCTAGGTCTGACAAGTAGTATGGAGCTGTGGCTCTGTATATTGTTTCTTCATCCTACGTAATGTATTCTCAGTGAATTTGGTGATGGTTTATTTCCCCTGTTCAGAGAAATTTGTCATTGAAGTTGTTAGGTTTATGTCCCATCCTGCATCCTGATATTACCAGGTTCTGACCACTAGATGGTGCTGCTCCCCCCTCCCTCCCAATGTTAAAGGGATAGTTGACCCAAATTACAAAATAACAAATTGGTCTATGGAGAAGGTATGACAGCAATCCATGCTTTGGTTTTGTTGTCCACTGTTTCAAATGCTAACTTTGTGGCACAAATCCAATTCAATGGTACCTATATTAGCATTTTCACGCTTCATGTCCAAGTCATCCTAAAGTATCAAGAATTTGATTGTGTAACTCAATGTTACTTACTTATAGATGCTTTGGATATGAAGCGCGACAGTGCTGATATAAATCAAATCAAATTTTATTGGCCACATGCGCCGAATACAACAGGTGCAGACATTACAGTGAAATGCTTACTTACAGCCCTTAACCAACAGTGCATTTATTTTTTATTAAAAAGTAAAATAAAACAACAACTAGCGGGGGCACTGGCTAGTTGAGGTAGTTGAAGTAATATGTACATGTGGGTAGAGTTAAAGTGACTATGCATAAATAATTAACAGAGTAGCAGCAGCGTAAAAAGATGGGGTGGGGGGGCAGTGCAAATAGTCCGGGTAGCCATGATTAGCTGTTCAGGAGTCTTATGGCTTGGGGGTAGAAGCTGTTGAGAAGTCTTTTGGACCTAGACTTGGCACTCCGGTACCGCTTGCCGTGCGGTAGCAGAGAGAACAGTCTATGACTAGGGTGGCTGGAGTCTTTGACAATTTTGAGGGCCTTCCTCTGACACCGCCTGGTATAGAGGTCCTGGATGGCAGGAAGCTTGGCCCCAGTGATGTACTGGGCCGTACGCACTACCCTCTGTAGTGCCTTGCGGTCGGAGGCCGAGCAGTTGACATACCAGGCGGTGATGCAACCAGTCAGGATGCTCTCGATGGTGCAGCTGTATAATTTTTTGAGGATCTGAGGACCCATGCCAAATCTTTTCAGTCTCCTGAGGGGGAATAGGCTTTGTCGTGCCCTCTTCACGACTGTCTTGGTGTGTTTGGACCATTATAGTTCGTTGGTGATGTGGACACCAAGGAACTTGATGCTCTCAACCTGTTCCACTACAGCCCCGTCGATGAGAATGGGGGCATGCTCAGTCCTCTTTTTTTTTCCTGTAGTCCACAATCATCTCCTTTGTCTTGGTCACGTTGAGGGAGAGGTTGTTATCCTGGCACCACACGGCCAGGTCTCTGACCACCTCCCTATAGGCTGTCTCATCGTTGTCGGTGATCAGGCCTACCACTGTTGTGTCGTCAGCAAACTTAATGATGGTGTTGGAGTCGTTCCTCGCCATGCAGTCATGGGTGAACAGGGAGTACAGGAGGGGACTGAGCACGCACCCCTGAGGGGCCCCCGTGTTGAGGATCAGTGTGGCAGATGTGTTGTTACCTACCCTTACCACCTGGGGGCGGCCTGTCAGGAAGTCCAGGATCCAGTTGCAGAGGGAGGTGTTTAGTCCCAGGATCCTTAGCTTAGTGATGAGCTTTGAGGGCACTATGGTGTTGAATGCTGAACTGTAGTCAATGAATAGCATTCTCACGTAGGTGTTCCTCTTGTCCAGGTGGGAAAGGGCAGTGTGGAGTGCAATAGAGATTGCATCATCTGTTGGGGCGGTATGCAAATTGGAGTGGGTCTAGGGTTTCTGGGATAATGCTGTTGATGTGAGCCATGACCAGCCTTTCAAAGCACTTCATGGCTACAGACGTCAGTGCTACGGGTCGGTAGTCATTTAGGCAGGTTATCTTAGTGTCCTTGGGCACGGGGACTATGGTGGTCTGCTTGAAACATGTTGGAATTACAGACTCAGTCAGGGACCTGCTTAAAAGTCTTACTCACATCGGCTACGGAGACCGTGATCACATAGTCATCCGGAACAGCTGGTGCTCTCATGCATGCTTCAGTGTTGCTTGCCTCGAAGCGAGCATAGAAGTGGTTTAGCTCGTCTGGTAGGCTTGTGTCACTGGGAAGCTTGCGGTTGTGCTTCCCTTTGTAGTCTGTAATAGTTTTCAAGCCCTGCCACATCCGACGAGCGTCAGAGCCGGTGTAGTACGATTCAATCTTAGTCCTGTATTGACTCTTTGCCTGTTTGATGGTTCGTTGGAGGGCATAGCGGGATTTCTTATAAGCGCCCGGGTTAGAGTCCCGCTCCTTGAAAGCGGCAGCTCTACCCTTTAGCTCAGTGTGGATGTTTCCTGTAATCCATGGCTTCCTTTTGGGGTATGTACGTACGGTCACTGTGGGGACGACATCATCAATGCTCTTATTGATGAAGCCAGTGACTGATGTGGTGTACTCCTCAATGCTATCTAAAGAATCCCGGAACATGTTCCAGTCTGTGCTAGCAAAACAGTCCTGTAGCTTAGCATCTGCGTCATCTGACCACTTTTTTATTAACCGAGTCACTGGTGCTTCCTGCTATAGTTTTTGCTTATAAGCAGGAATCAGGAGGATAGAGTTATGGTCAGATTTGCCAAATGGAGGGCGAGGGAGAGCTTTGTTTTTGTCTCTGTGTGTGGAGTAAAGGTGGTCTAGATTTTTTTTTTTTCCTCTGGTTGCATATTTAACATGCTGGTAGAAATTAGGTAGAAAAACGGATTTAAGTTTCCCTGCATTAATGTCCCCGGCCACTAGGAGCGCTGCCTCTGGATGAGCGTTTTCCTGTTGACTTATGGCCTTATACAGCTCATTCAGTGCAATCTTAATGCCAGCATTGGTTTGTGGTGGTAAATAGACAGCTATGAAAAATATAGATGAAAACTCTCTTGGTAAATAGTGTGGTCTACAGCTTATCATAAGATACTCTACCTCAGGCGAGCAAAACCTTGAGACTTCCTTAGTATTTGATTATGTGCACCAGCTGTTGTTTACAAATATACACAGACCGCCACCCCTTGTCTTACCGGAGTCAGCCGTTCTATCCTGCCGATGTAGCGTATAGCCCGCTAGCTGTATGTTATCCATGTCGTCGTTCAGCCACGACTCGGTGAAACATAAGATATTACAGTTTTTAATGTCCTGTTGGTAGGATAACCGTAATCTTAGGTCATCCAATTTATTTTCCAATGATTGAAGATTGGTTAATAGGATTGATATGAGTGGCAGTTTACTCGCTCGCCGTCGGATCCTTACAAGGCACCCTGACCTACGTCCACGATATCTCAGTCTCTTCCTCATGCGAATGACAGGGATTTGGGCCTTGTCGGGTGTCTGTAGGATATCCTTCGCGGGCCGCCTCGTTGAAGAAAAATTATTAGTCCAATACGAGGTGAGTAATCACTGTCCTGATATCCAGAAGCTCTTTTTGGTTATAAGAGACGATGGCAGAAACATTATGTACAAAATAAATTACAAATAACGCGGAAAAAGCGGTCTGTGTATATTTGTAAACAACAGCTGGTGCACAAAATCAAATACTAAGGAAGTCTCGAGGTTTTGCTCGCCTGAGGTAGAGTATCTTATGATAAGCTGTAGACCACACTATTTACCAAGAGAGTTTTCATCTATATTTTTCATAGCTGTCTATTTACCACCACAAACCAATGCTGGCATTAAGATTGCACTGAATGAGTTGTACAAGGCCATAAATCAACAGGAAAACGCTCATCCAGATGCAGCGCTCCTAGTGGCCGGGGACTTTAATGCAGGGAAACTTAAATCCGTTCTACCTAATTTCTACCAGCATGTTAAATGTGCAACCAGAGGAAAAAAAAAAACTCTAGACCACCTTTACTCCACACACAGAGACGCATACAAAGATCTCCCTCGCCCTCCATTTGGCAAATCTGACCATAACTCTATCCTCCTGATTCCTGCTTATAAGCAAAAACTAAAGCAGGAAGCACCAGTGACTCGTTAATAAAAAAAGTGGTCAGATGACGCAGATGCTAAGCTACAGGACTGTTTTGCTAGCACAGACTTGAACATGTTCCGGGATTCTTCAGACAGCATTGAGGAGTACACCACATCAGTCACTGGCTTCATCAATAAGTGCATCGATGATGTCGTCCCCACAGTGACTGTACGTACATACCCCAACCAGAAGCCATGGATTACAGGAAACATCCGCACTGAGCTAAAGGGTAGAGCTGCCGCTTTCAAGGAACGGGACTCTAACCCGGACGCTTATAAGAAATCCCGCTATGCCCTCCGACGAACCATCAAACAGGCAAAGAGTCAATACAGGACTAAGATTGAATCGTACTACACTGGCTCTGACGCTTGTCGGATGTGGCAGGGCTTGAAAACTATTACAGACTACAAAGGGAAGCACAGCCGCGAGCTGCCCAGTGACACAAGCCTACCAGACGAGCTAAACCACTTCTATGCTCGCTTCGAAGCAAGCAACACTGAAGCATGCATGAGAGCACCAGCTGTTCCGGATGACTATGTGATCACGCTCTCCGTAGCTGATGTGAGTAAGACTTTTAAGCAGGTCAACATTCACAAGACCGCAGGGCCAGACGGATTACCAGGACGTGTACTCCGAGCATGTGCTGACCAACTGGCAAGTGTCTTCACTGACATTTTCAACATGTCCCTGACTGAGTCTGTAATACCAACATGTTTCAAGCAGACCACCATAGTCCCCGTGCCCAAGGACTCTTAAGATTACCTGCCTAAATGACTACCGACCCGTAGCACTGACGTCTGTAGCCATGAAGTGCTTTGAAAGGCTGGTCATGGCTCACATCAACAGCATTATCCCAGAAACCCTAGACCCACTCCAATTTGCATACCGCCCCAACAGATCCACAGATGATGCAATCTCTATTGCACTCCACACTGCCCTTTCCCACCTGGACAAGAGGAACACCTACGTGAGAATGCTATTCATTGACTACAGCTCAGCATTCAACACCATAGTGCCCTCTAAGCTCATCACTAAGCTAAGGATCCTGGGACTTAACACCTCCCTCTGCAACTGGATCCTGGACTTCCTGATGGGCCGCCCCCAGGTGGTAAGGGTAGGTAACAACACATCTGACACACTGATCCTCAACACGGGGGCCCCTCAGGGGTGCGTGCTCAGTCCCCTCCTGTACTCTCTGTTCACTCATGACTGCATGGCCAGGCACGACTCCAACACCATCATTAAGTTTTCCGGCGACACAACAGTGGTAGGCCTGATCACCGACAACGATGAGACAGCCTATAGGGAGGAGGTCAGAGACCTGGCCGTGTGGTGCCAGGACAACAACCTCTCCCTCAACGTGACCAAGACAAAGGAGATGATTGTGGACTACAGGAAAAAAAAGAGGACTGAACACGCCCCCATTCTCATCGACGGGGCTGTAGTGGAACAGGTTGAGAGCTTCAAGTTCCTTGGTGTCCACATCACCAACGAACTATCATGGTCCAAACACACCAAGACAGTCGTGAAGAGGGCACGACAAAGCCTATTCCCCCTCAGGAGACTGAAAAGATTTGGCATGGGTCCTCAGATCCTCAAAAAATTCTACAGCTGCACCATCGAGAGCATCCTGACTGGTTGCATCACCGCCTGGTATGGCAACTGCTTGGCCTCCGACCGCAAGGCACTACAGAGGGTAGTGCGTACGGCCCAGTACATCACTGGGGCCAAGCTTCCTGCCATCCAGGACCTCTATACCAGGCGGTGTCAGAGGAAGACCCTCAAAATTGTCAAAGACTCCAGCCACCCTAGTCATAGACTGTTCTCTCTGCTACCGCACGGCAAGCGGTACCGGAGTGCCAAGTCTAGGTCCAAAAGACTTCTCAACAGCTTCTACCCCCAAGCCATAAGACTCCTGAACAGCTAATCATGGCTACCCGGACTATTTGCACTGCCCCCCCACCCCATCCTTTTTACGCTGCTGCTACTCTGTTAATTATTTATGCATAGTCACTTTAACTCTACCCACATGTACATATTACTTCAACTACCTCAACTAGCCGGTGCCCCCGCACATTGACTCTGCACCGGTACCCCCCTGTATATATAGCCTCCCTACTGTTATTTTATTTTACTTCTGCTCTTTTTTTCTCAACACTTTTTTTGTTGTTTTATTTTTAAAATAAATGCACTGTTGGTTAAGGGCTGTAAGTAAGCATTTCACTGTAATGTCTGCACATGTTGTATTCGGCGCATGTGACCAATAAAATTGGATTTGATTTGAAAAACACACATAATAGTACAATTGGTTAGAGGGCTGTAAAATGGCAGCCATCTTCTCCGGCACAATTCTAATCAGGTACCGCCATTCTAATATAGGTACCATTGACTTGCGTTTTACATTTACATTTTAGTCATTTAGCAGACGCTCTTATCCAGAGCGACTTACAGTTAGTGAGTGCATACATTATTTTTTATATTTTTCATACTGGCTCCCCATGGGAATCGAACCCACAACCATGGCGTTTGCAATGCTTGCAAACACCGTTGCAAACGCCATGCTCTACCAACTGAGCTACATCCCTGCTGGCCATTCCTTTCCCTACCCTGGACGACGCTGTGCCAATTGTGCGCCGCCCCATGGGTCTCCCGGTCGCGGCCGGCTACGACAGAGCCTGGATTCGAACCAGGATCTCTAGTGGCACAGCTAGCACTGCGATGCAGTGCCTTAGACCACTGCGCCACTCGGGAGCCGTTGGATTTGTTTCACAAATGCTAAAAAGTTAGCATTTGAAACAGTGGCCAGGTTAACAAAACCAAATCATGGGTTGCTGTCATACCTTGTCCATAAACTGCTTACAGGGTAAGGAAACCAATATGTAATTTGAGTGAACTATCCCTTTAACATTGAGGGGAAGGGGGGTTCTTTAAAAAAATCACTTAATAGCAGTAACAGCATCTAGTGGTCAGAACCTAGTAATATCAGGATGTAGGATAGGACATAAACCTAACAACTTCAATGACTAATTTCTCTGAACAGAAAACTGATACTACACTGAACAAAAATAAATGCAAGATTTTACTAAGTCACAGTTCATATAAGGAAATCAGTCAATTAAAATACATTAATTAGGCCCTAATCTATGGATTTCACATGACTGGGAATACAGATATGCATCTGTTGGTCACAGATACCTTAAAAAAAAAAGGTAGGGGTGTGAATCAGAAAACCAGTCCGTATCTGGTGTGGCCACCATTTGCCTCATGCAGCTTGGCACATCAGGTTGTTGCTTGTGGCCTTTGGAATGTTGTACCACTCCTCTTCAATGGCTGTGCGAAGTTGCTGGATGTTGGTGGGAACTGGAACACGTCGATCCAGAGCATCCCAAACATGCTCAATGGGTAACATGTCTGGTGAGTATGCAGGCCATGGAAGAACTAGGACATTTTCATCTTCCACGAATTGTGTACAGATCCTTGTGACATGGGGCCGTGCATTATCATGCTTAAACTTGAGGTGATGGCGATGGATGAATGGACCTCAGGATCTCGTCACGGTATCTCTGTACATTCAAATTGCCGTTGATAAAATGCAATTGTGTTCATTGTCTGTAGCTTATGCCTGCCTATACCATAAACCCACTGCCACCATGGGGCACTCTGTTCACAACGTTGACATCAGCAAACCTGGATCAATGTGTATAGTCATTGTTTGGGTGCGTTTGGCGTGGGGGGTCCGTGAGTGGCTTTTGACCATTTCTTTGGATTACTCATGACTTACTCATTATTAGAAAAAAGTTAGGGATATGAATATTTTATAGATTAAATGGACAATTTAGGTCCAATCAGTCAGCTTAATTTATCAGAGATCAAATTATATTTAAACCAAAATTATCTTTTTCTAACTACAGAAATGATTTCAGAACAATCTGAGATTGTGGGTGTCATTGCTTGCTGAAATGACATGGAATGACCCTCAAGTCACTGAGAGGGAAAGGATTTTGGAGGCAGAAAATTAAACCAAGTCCCAGCACACAGAGAAACAAAGACAACCCTTCACAAAGTGGGGCGGCTGACCTGTCTCCTGACATCATCAAAGTGCGTCTGGCTCCCCTAGCGCGGTGGCTAACGAAGTCCCCAGAGAGGATGTGGAAAAGCAAAAGAGCAAAGTCTCTCTTTCCATCAGATTATCCATCCATCCATTTATCCATCTGCAGACTGAAAAGCATGAATTGAATAATCTGTTTTGTATTGTATTTTAGCTTTATTATTTATTACAAAACATAATGCAGGATAAAAAATTCTGAATGGTCAAGAATGCTCATATCTTCTAATGTCAGTTACTATGTTGGTTTTGATGTTGTCTCTCATTGAGTGCAGTTACATGCACATAAACAATTTCCCTAATAATCCTGTTTACATGGACACATCTAAAATCAGGCTACCTGATGGGACTTAAATAAATGCTGAAAATTGCCATTCAAAATAAACATTCTACCACAGCGACCATGTTCTTTTTGTGAAGCCTGATTGATTCTGTGTTCGGACATATAAAGTTTGTATGTGAAATCTATTTCTAAGATGCATACATACTTTCAGTTTTTACGAACTCACTTCACTCACGCATTAGAGGGAGGCTTGCGTTACCGGTGCTGGCAAATGCGCAGATCAAATACACCGCTGGAACTCCGATTAAGCTGTTCACATGTCCTAATAATTCAAAAGATTGCTTAGAAAAGCAGGTGTTTTATTTGGCGTATGCGTACTTAGATTTTGACCTTACGTCAATTAAGATAAGCACAGTAAAATGTTTACATGACTATTGCCATACTCTGCCTACTGACATAATCAGTTTAATATCGAATTACACTGAGTGGACAAAACATTAGGAACACCTTAATATTGAGTTGCACCCCCTTTTGCCCTCTAAACAGCATAAATTCGTCAGGGCATGGAGTCTACAAAGTGTCGAAGGCATTCCACAGGGATGTTGGCCCATGTTGACTCCAATGCTTCCCACAGTTGTGTCAAGTTGGCTGGATGTCCTTTGGGTGGTGGACCATTCTTGATACACAGGGGAAACTGTTGAGTGTGAAAAACCCAGCAGTGTTGTAGTTCTTGACATACTCAAACCGGTGCGCCTGGCATCTACTACCATACCCTGTTCAAAGGCACTTCAATCTTTTGTCTTTCCCGTCTCAATTGTCTCGAGGCTTAAAAATCTTTCTTTAACCTGTCTCCTCCCCTTCATCTACACTGATTTGAAGTGGATTTAACATGTGACATCAATAAGGGATCATAGCTTTCACCTGGATTCAACGGGTCAGTCTATATAATGGAAAGAGCAGGTGTCCCTAATGTTTTGTACACAGTGTATTAGTGTGCATGTAAAGTTACTCATTGTGTCTGATGCACACTGCATTTCCACCCCCTATGGTTAATACTGTATGTTTCTCTCCTGTGCTAGCCAGCTCCTAGCTCAGTGATCGCTCCCCTCCCAGTCAGGTTTACTGTTGTTTTTCTGTCCCCAGCCAGCTAAGTGCCAGGTGGCTGTGTTTGGGGGGCTTAAGCGGCAGAGCATTATTCTGTCCCAGGCCCAGACTTACTTTGGGCATGGTAATTACCAGGTGCTCATTCTTGGCAGTGCAAGCGTGTGTTTGGAGGGGAGGATGGAGGTTGAACCATAGGATGTGTTTGTTTACTACTTTAGGATTCTTGGCTCAAGCACACCTGCTGTTGTCTCCCACTCGCTCTCTCTCATCTCTCTCTCTCCGTCTCCCCCCTCCTCTCTCTCTCTCATTTCTGTCTCTCTGTCTCCCCCCTCCTCTCTCTCTCTCTGCTCCTCGCTCTCTCTCTCTCTCCCCGTCTCCCCCCTCCTCTCTTTCTCTCTCTCTGCTCCCCTCTCTCTCTCTCTCTGCTCTCTCTCTCCTCCAGCTGTTTGAGCTGCTGGGCCCAGAGGGATTTGAGATGATCTCTGTTCTCCTCCAGAAAAGGTCTTCCATCGTGGACTCTCTCCTCTCCATCCCTGCAGACAGGATCAACTACCCACCAGGTGAGTCAGACCCTGCCCCTTGCACCGGAGGCATTCAGGTAATCGCAATAGAAACCAGAGATCCACCACACTCTCGGAGAGCAGTGGGGTAGAGCGTTGTTGATTAATTAAACTGCAGATCATTGGTTTGAAATTCAAATTCTACATACCTAGCCAAATCTTGGCATTAATTGCCTAGACTAATGCCTAGACCAACTGACTCCAACATTCATCATTGAATTTTTTTTAATGATAAAAATATTTAAATATTTAGCCTGTCACTACCCTTCATTTGGAGGACCACTTTTAATATTATGCCTTTTTTTTATTTTATATATATACTTATTTACCCCCAACCTTCATCATTGTCAGAGTGTTCTCAATGGAAGGAGAGGGTGTGATCTGAATTGTAGGAGGAGGAGAGGGTGATGTATGATAGACTCACTAAGGTCGACTCTTCGCTATGCATTTCTCAGCGGGGTCATGACCTTTAACACCTGGTCCATGTTTGGATGTTAATCCCTACCACACAAACAGCACAGTCCAGCTCCAACAACCCTTAAATATCTATCTGAGGGTTTGATGTACAAATCAATATTAGACTCTGTGAATCTTTGATCGTATCCCGTCCAGTACAGAGAGGGACAGTATGAAATGCAGTGTCTCTTTGTCATTGGGTGAAGGTTGGTAAAGCTATAGCCTTCTAAGGCATACAATTACAAATACTTCCCTACCGCTATTCAAGATGGGAAATATGTTACTTTTATGTACATTTCATGTAACTGTGAAAAGGCTATTCACCATCCTCTCTACCCAAAGGTTCAACATTCCACCTTAACTTATTTTCCTTTCTATACCTTTTTTTCTCCCTCCCTCCCTCCACCGTAACCTCATCGTTCTCTCATTTCTTTGTTCCCATCACCTACCCCATCAGGTCTGTCTCAGGTCTGTTTTGGAGCTGGGTATTGCTCTCGTTTTCTGCATGATTGTCAAACGGCTCAATACGCTGAAAGGCCATTACCTAAAGATAGCCCATTAAGCTTAGCTCAATCCTTCATTATTTCTCTAGGTTTTGAGTGAGGAGGATGGGGGTTTGGGTGAGGAGGATGGGGGTTTGGGTGAGGAGGATGGGAGGTTGGGGGATGTATTGCACCATGATCCATTTAAGTCCAAGGTAGTCATCTCCAGCACTAAACCAGTCCCTCTCTTTTAGCCCCTCTTGCCTTCCGCTTCTTCTCACAAATCAGAGAAAATGTAGCAAAGTAGGTTTTCACTCTATAGACAAATATCTGGCTCATGCCTTGTATAGTGTTATTGTCCCCATGATGACATCTGGAAGGGGACTGTGGCTCTGTCTCCGTCCTTTAGTACGTTCGTACATTCGTCACACGCAATATCTCAGACAGCACTAGCTCAATTTTGACGAAACTTTGGTGAATGATGTCTTGCCATAGAGATCCGGCATGTACAAATTACACTGATTGGCTCAAAGGGGGTGCTATAGTAATCAACTAAAATTCAGAAATTACACTGATTGGCCGAAGGGTGGAGGTGGGTACTATAGTAATAAACTGAAATTCCAAACTTTGAACAAGCATATCTCCTGTCCCGTTTGAGCTATTGTCAGGGAATTTGGTTCTTATATGCAGCCCCTCATGAGGAACAAGTTTCTTATAAGGACCCATAAGCCCCGCCCATTAGTTTTCCTGCTAATTAGACATGTTGTCCCCCACCAAACTCTGAACAAGCATATCTCCTGCCCCGTTTGGACATGTATACATCTTCTCATGAGAAACACGTTTCCCACACAAGGAGGAGCACTACATCATTCGTGGGGGACTACATGTTTACTGTAGACTTGTTATTATGTTAACTGAGGGGTGGCATTGTCCCTTAGGCTGGTCTTAGATCCGTTTGTGCTGTCTTGCCAACTCCTATGGTCAGTGTCCAGCACACAGATCTGGGACCAGGCTAGTAGTCACTCTACTCAGCAAATTGGATGTAGTCTATCACAGTGCCATCCGTTTTGTCTCCAAAGCCCCATACACTACCCACCACTGTGACCTGTACGCTCTTGTTGGCTGGTCCTCACTACATGTTCGTCGTCAAACCCACTGGCTCCAGGCCATCTATAAATCACTGCTAGGCAAATCCCCGCCTTATCTTAGCTCATTGGTCACCATAGCAGCACCCACCCGTAGTCTGCGCTCCAGCAGGTATATCTCACTGGTCATTCCCAAAGCCAACACCTCCTTTGGCCGCCATTCCTTCCAGTTCTCTGCTGCCAATGACTGGAACGAATTGCAAAAATCTCTGAAGCTGCAGACTCTTATCTCCCTCACTAACTTTAAGCATCAGTTGTCAGAGCACCTTACCGATCACTGCACCTGTACACAGCCCATCTGAAATTAGCCCACCCAACTACCTCATCCCTATATTGTTATTTATTTTGCTCTTTTGCACCCCAGTATCTCTATTTGCACATAATCTCTTGCACATCTAGCATTCCAGTGTTAATACTAGTTGTAATTATTTTGCACTATAGCCTATTTATTGCCTTACCTCCATAACTTGCTACATTTGCACACACTGTATATATATTTTCTGTTGTATTTTTTTTTTACTTTGTTTTTTTTACCCCATATGTAACTCTGTGTTGTTGTTTTTATCGCACTACTATGCTTTGTCTTGGCCAGGTCGCAGTTGTAAATGAGAACTTGTTCTCAACTGGCTTACCTGGTTAAATAAAGGTGAAATAAATTAAATAATAATAATAAAAACATTTGGGAATACACTGACTTGGTTGGTGCTGAAGTGGTCTCCTCCCCTGTGCTAGGATATGTGTCCTGCTGTAACGTAGCTATGCTGATCTGCTCCTACCTCTGAATATACAGTAGCCTATGTAGTTCAGTGAAGTATCCTCTCTACATTATACAGCCCTCTATTGCTGTCCCTCTGTAGCTTGGAGCTGACTGGCTCATATTAAGGCTGTTGCCCTTGTAGTTCACTGTTTTCCAGGCTTAGCCTACAGTACACTGACTGGTTTATATTGAAGTTGCTTCCCCCATGGCCTGTAGCTGAATTCAGTCAGTGATTTCAGTCTATATTTCCCCACAGCATGGAACTGATTCTACTGGATGTCACTGAAGCTGTGTAGCACAGTGAACCCAGTGCCTGACTGTGTTTGTTATTTTTCACACACTGAACCCCATGCTGAGCTAGCAGTACCCCTCCTCGTTTCTCTTTCTTTCTTTCTCTCTCCTCTTTTAGGAGATGTTTTCTTCGCTTTCAGGCTGATAGTTGTTTTTTTACACTTAAAATGTGAACAAAGCTGCGAGTAGTTGAAGATGTGTGTGGGAAGATAAGGATGGATAATTTGTCATTGCTGGGGTTGTCGTCGGTTCCAAATCGTAGGCAGGCATCAAAGAAATGGAAAAAATATATATATGAAGCTGGAGTTTTAGTTTTTCAGAACGTTTCTTGAATATTATTTTATATATTTCTATCGCCGAAGGGATTCTAGTTATCTATTTGAGTCATTCATTTCCCACTAGTTTATTCAAATACATTTACAGCGGTGGTTGTGATACTGTAAATTAACCAACTAATCTAAAGGCCCAGTTCAGTCAAAAAATTAGATTTTCGTGTGTGTGAGAGAGAATACTGTGAAATTGTAAATTAGTAAATAGACCAAAAGAGTTCCAAACCTCTCTGCCAATAACAGCTAGTTTTCAGTTTTCCCCTCCCCACTCAGACCACTCCCAGACACTCCTAGCAAAATTCTAGCATGTTTCTTTTTTTTTAACCATTTTCATTGAAAACAATCACAGTAAGGTAATTGTTACCCAGAAATGATTTGATATTGAGCTAAAAACGGCTGCATTGGACCTGTAGCCCTTTACACTTGAACACGGGTTGAAAATAGAAGATTTGGGCACTGATAAATGCCTAAATTGTAACTCAGTGGCTGTACAGAAACATGCTATACATGACGTCAGAGCTCTGGCTCTCTGCTTCACTGCGCTCTATGGGTTTTAGTGCAGAGCGATTAGTGCTTTTTGAGGTCGAGTCGGTTTCAGTTCGATTATTAAAAAATAATAACGGTTTTCGGTTTCAGTTATAAAAAATAAAAAAATGCACTATGCATTATGTGGGTTGAATGCTGTAACCACACAGAATAAAACAATTAATAAAAGTCCCATGATGGTGGTGACTGCCCATTACTGTTTATCACTTTTTAACCATCATTTATTCACATTACTTTGTTTTGTATATTACATTTGTTTTATTCAATGACTTTATTATTTCATTCAAAGTCATCATCTCATCTCTATAGAGCTGCTGCCTATGCGGTCTGCCAAAATCACTATTTTAGTAGTTCTTCAAAGTACATAAGGCATACTTTTATGACTGCTGAATACCAACTATCAATGTATTTTCAGGTAGAGATACCTCGCATAGTCGATTGTGCATTCTTCTGTCACTATTATTTAGCAGGTGTAAAAGAAACACAGACCGGACATGTAAGCGTGCAATGGATTATGGTCATTGTAAATTACAACTCCCTACTACATCGTAGTTAGGGTTTGATCTGACTTATCTCTAGAAAAACTGCGCAGTGTGCACATTGAGCTCACAGAAAAAAACAGAACGAAATGGAATACAAATCATTTAACAGACATCTGTCAATTAGTTGGTTAAAAAGAAAGATGAACACCATTTTGGTTAATCGCGCGACAAGAAGTTGCCCCCATCCCTTCCACTAATTGGGCAACTTTTGCACTTTTGTTGTCTGAGTGAGGGAAATGCTGTACATTAGGATGACTCTATGTATTTTGAAAGATGAGACATTGAGAATGATAATAAATACCGCTTTGATGTTTTTGGTTAGGGTTAGTCTTACTGGGGTCCTACACATAACGAAAAATACATTACAGACAAAAGACTAACATGTAGTGTGTGTGCATCTATCAGTTCCACATACATGTCAGTACATAAACACAACAATTAGGTCACATGG